CGGCGCTAGTTTGAGTTAGGATTAGCAGCGAGAGATTGCCGAGCTACTGAGAACTAGCCGTTAAGATTTTCATAGCCTGGGTTTAATAGGGAGATTCTATTGAGAAGGCCGCGGAAAGTGTGGATCTCCTGGTGGGTTTTTTGAAGCTTTCGCAGAGATCTGCGGTCATGCTAGGATTTGCTGCTGCTGCCCACAAGTTTTGATGCGAATTATTTGATTTATCTGGACCAGTAAGCATGGCTACTTCTCCTTCTTCCTGCGGCGACACCCGCGTTCTTCTATCCGCTACCCTGCACCTCTCAATACCTTCTTCTTCCATTGGTCTCCTCAGCCTTCAACCTCCAATCCACCAGTGTCACAAACCCAATCGCCACCTTCTGACCCCCAGGCCTCTTTCTAATGCCTCCTACCTCCTTTAACTTCCACTTCCCCTCCCCCTCCTTGTCGCTCTCCCTACTCCTTCACTCCCGAATTACACCACCTCCGGCCGCCAAGTCCCTCCTCCGCGTTGCCTCTCCTCCTCCGTTCCACCGCCAACATCATTCACCTCCGCTTCTTTTCGAACCCTCCTCCTACTTCCTAAATTAACCCCTCCACCTTCTGCTAAGCCTTCCCACAACTCCTACCTTACTCCTCCACCTTCTCTAACCCTCCCCCAACTCCCACCTAATCCTCCACCTTCTGCTAACCCTCCCCCAACTCCTACCCTTAACTCCTTCCACCCAACTCAAGCGCTGACCCCCCTTCAGTTATCCCCACCTCCTCCTCTCTCCCTACATTTAGCCTCTCCAATCTCTCCTGCTTTATCTCCAACTCCCCGCCGCCGGCCTCTCCCCCTATAACCGTTCGCCCGCCCATCCAGACCCAAGACCACCTAAAAAGTCATCTCCACCACCTCCATTGGCTAACCCTCCAACCCCATCACCTCCATCGCCAATTTCCGGTTCCCCCCCTCCTTCTAAATCTCAAACGCCGCCTGCAACTCCTTCAAGCCCACCTCCAAAGGAATCGCCTCCATTGGTTCCTTCTCCTCCTTCCCCTCCCCCTAGCAATTCCTCTAGTGGCTCACCCCCTCTGGACCCGTCTCCACCTTCTCCTCCTTTACCCTCTCCCAACACTCCAACGGGTGACCCAACAAGTCCAATTAGCCCTAGCGGCAATGGAAACAAGTCGTCTAGTTTCAGCCCTAATGTCACTGCCGGAACTGGAGGTGGGGGTAATGGTGGAGGTCATGAGGTGAAGACTGGTGTTGTGGTGCCAATTGCTGTGGTAGCTAGTCTCTTGGTGCTTGGTTTAGTAGGATTAGCTGTGTGGTATTTCAAGAAGAAGAGAAGAAGGTCCGGTGGATATGCAGCTGGATTTGTCATGCCGTCACCATTTGCATCTTCACAAATATCAGGTAATGCCAATGGCCTTAATACCTTATTGTGCTTTAGCATCTTCACAAATCTTTAAAATTTATTGTCAAATGTCACTGAACATCAACTTGAATTGTGGCTGTTTGTTTTAACTTGTCAGAATCATCTCCAACAGCTCGTCTTGCATACCACAGCTCTGGGACCGGGAGCAATGGATTCATGGACTCACCTGACCCAGGCGTAGGAAATTCAAAGCAATGGTTTAGCTATGACGAACTTTACAAGATTACAAATGGGTTCTCGGATCAGAATCTTTTGGGCGAGGGTGGATTTGGTTGTGTGTATAAAGGATGCCTCCCGGATGGGAGGGAGGTTGCTGTCAAGCAACTTAAAGTTGGTGGTTCACAGGGGGAGCGTGAATTTAGAGCTGAAGTGGAGATAATTGGTCGTGTACACCATCGCCATTTGGTTTCCCTTGTAGGTTATTGTATAGCTGGCAACCAAAGAATACTTGTTTATGACTTTGTTCCTAATAATACACTTCACTATCATCTCCATGGTTAGTTGCAACCGTTTAGTTTCTTTCTAGGGTCTGTCCACTATTAGTCCCTTAAAATATTTCATATTTTGAAATTAGTGCCTAAAATGATAGAAATTGCTATTAGGTCCCCAAATTTGAAGTTAGTCTTCTAGATCCCCCAATTTTCATAAGTTATTGTAAATTAATCCCTCTAGTTACAACTTCTGCTCTTGATTGGAGGGACTAAGTTCAAGATAACTTAAGAATTGATGGACCTAATAGCAATTTCAGTGATTTAAGAGACAAATTTCAAAATACTTACGAACTAGGGGACCAAGTTGCAATCAATGCTTTGAGGGACTAATTTCAATATATGAAAGATTTAAGGGACTAATATCGAAACCCCCTTATTTCTGAATTGTGAAATTTGAAATTTTCACCTTTAAAATATCTATTGATAATCAATGAGTTATAATTTCATTTTCAGCCGAAGGAAGACCTGTTTTGGATTGGGCAACCAGAGTCAAGATTGCTGCTGGGGCAGCTCGAGGACTTGCATACCTCCATGAGGATTGTAAAAAACTATGACCTCTCTTTCAACTACTCACATTTTGGTTAATAACTGCATGATTAAGTTTATAGTTTGCATCTCTCTCTATTTGTTTATCAGGTCATCCAAGGATTATTCATAGAGATATAAAGTCCTCAAACATCTTATTAGATGCCAACTTCGAAGCGCAGGTTTTTTTTAAAAAATATAATAACTGAAAGCATTCTTGATTTTTACTTATGTCTTCCTTTGTTAACCCTGAAAGAAATATCTATATATTAGGTATCTGATTTTGGGCTTGCAAGGTTAGCTATGGATGCTGTGACACATGTCACTACACGAGTAATGGGGACATTTGGGTATGTGAACATTCAATGAAATGTCGAAGGATCATTTTCTTTTGAATTTTGGTGGCTGAAAAAAAAATCCTTTTTGTACAGATACTTGGCTCCAGAGTATGCTTCAAGTGGCAAGTTGACTGAGAAATCTGATGTTTATTCTTTTGGAGTTGTACTCTTGGAGCTAATTACTGGAAGAAAGCCTGTCGATACATCCCAACCTGTGGGAGATGAGAGCCTTGTTGAGTGGGTAAGCTCATTAGTACTTGTTCAGTAGTTGATGGTATAGGCCACTGTTCATAAAGACAAACATAAAAACTCTATAACAATCATCTGTTCAAGTTTCAGCAACTGATTGGATATCTATAGATATGCCCTCGACCATGATTGCTTGTCGGTATATCTAAGTGTATTGTGCCACGCCATGCTCTTGGAATAATTTGAGTTCTTCCTATCTATTTGCAAACTGCAAATATTGTGACCTGCATAGCAGCATAGCCATTTATGGTTACTAATGGCAGGATTCTTAAAATTCTATGTGACTGTCAAACTCGATTAAGCTGTGAATTTATATGGTAATTCATTGCTTAAATTTATTAGTAAAGATAATGTCCTGTTACTCCTGTAGCATGATAGCTCTTATTACCTAATGCTTCCCAACTTTTAGTTTAATGCTTGCCCTTTCCATATTGAAATACTTTTTCAGTGAAGGTGTTCAGCAGTTCAAGTAGTTCAGACCTGACATAGGGTTTTATAGAGTTAAAATATTTGAATTAAAGAGTAACCAATTTGGCATCTTTTTTTTTTATTTATCCCCCCCCCCTTTTTTTTCGGTTGTTTTTTTTTTGTGTTGTGTGTGTGTGGGGGGGTTTTTTTTTTTTTTTTTTTGGGGGGGGGGGGAGATCATCTTCACACAGAAGGATACAACATCAATTTACATGTGTACATTCTCACTGAGAGACTTGGCTTCTTCTAGGATGGTTTAGGAGCAAATTATTTCCATTCAAACACAATCACAGATCTCCCAAAGTGAGAATCCACATGGTTCAGGCATAAAGTTAGAGGGTATAATACAAAAAACTATGTGATTTTAAGCTTCTATGTTTGCCTATGCATCAAGTAGGCATAAAATGAATTGCCGAAACCAACAACTTGTTTATAACTTTGGTCAAGATGTCTAAATCGAGTGATTTTAAGCTTCTATTTTTGCCTATGCATCAAGTAGGCGTAAAATGGATTTTGCCGAAACCAACAATTAAAATCATAAACCTAAGCAACATGATACTTAGGATGAGCAGTTATAAGATGTCATTATTAGTAGTTGATGTAACACCTAGGACTAGGAAGCATAATTTCTTGTAACACGAAAATTTGTAAACAACCTTATTTGAGTCTCTGAACTCAAGTATATGATATGCCGAATTAGGCCAGCATTCTCTATTCGTTAGGTTCACTAAACCAAACCACCATCGAAACCAACACTAAAACATGCCACATAATTCTGTGTGTTTGGCAACTACAAAAAGAGACTAGCCTAGAACTAGTTTTCCTTTAACTAGGCCAAAGTAGGCCCGACTAAGAGTTGGTCCAAAAGAGAACTAGTTTAAGGGGTAAAATTAGAACTGAAGAAAACTAGTTTGACTTTGCTTTTGGGCCAAGGTTGTATCTACTAAAACTAGTTTTGTGAAGTTGCCAAACACACCAAAATCATTACACATGTTTAACTGCTGCTCAGTAACATGTTCAAGATTTTGTATGTAATGGAAAGTTAATGTATCACCTACATATATGAAAACACACAAAGTACCAGTACTGAACATTTTCTTTATTTATGTTGGCAGACCTTTGTTGCTAAATGAATCCTAACCCGAACCACTAAGTTACTTGATCAAATTCCTAACCAAAATTGATGGTTCTTTTGCTCTCTATAACTTACAATCTGAAATTACTTTTTCGCTAACTAACATTTCAGGCTCGACCACTGCTGACTCATGCACTTGAAACTGGAGACTTCAATGAGCTACCAGATCCGAGGCTTGAAAAGAACTACGATGAGAAAGAGATGTTTCGAATGATTGAAGCAGCAGCTGCTTGTGTTCGTCATTCCGCAGCAATGAGGCCTCGTATGGGGCTGGTAATTTTTCAGTTTTCACCTTAATTCTCATCTAAATTCACAAGATAAAAATGATTATGAATGCATTTTTGATCTCTATTCTTTGTTTTCTTAGGTGGCGAGAGCTCTAGACGGGTTATCTGACATTGATTTAAGCAATGGCATGAAACCGGGCAACAGTGAACTTTTTTCTGCACAATCTGCAGATATCGCGTTATTTCGTAGGATGGCTTTTGGAAGCCAAGAATATAGTAGCGACTTAAGTAATTTCAGCAACTTCAGCAGAACGAGTAGGCAGAGTCAGAGAGATGTATGATAAAAAAATTCAATCTTTTTTCTCCATTTCTTAAAGAATATAATTTGTGCTTGTGATGTTTTGCTCACTCATTCCACTACATTTTCTTTTTCTATAGAAAAGGAATAAAATTCTTTCATTTTTTTTTTGTGTCTGTTCGAACGGAGGTCGATTTGTTTGTGTATTTAACAATCGCGATCTTGTAAATTCTTCTTGAAAAAACTAAATTGAAGAAGTAAAGGTTTTAGAACGTCAGAGTTTTCCTCCCTGGTATTTGATATGTTTTCATAGGCAAAAACTTTGTTCTTTTCTTTGCTGTAATATGTGAAATTAGTGGAATCTTTAGTTCTATTTGTATTCTAATCTTCGGTTCACGTATATAATCAAAGCTTCAAACACAAGGATGTGATCGGGGTATTTTTGTTTTGCATATGGAATGTGTTTGTTAGGACTTACTAGAATATAAAAATATGGATTTGGATCCTCTCCACTACAAAAAAGTAGTGGAGAGACCACTACTTTTAATCTCAAGCGTTGATTATTTAGTAGACGGTTATGATACAATATAAATCTAACACTTATCATACCTCGTGTATTGCACTCATTCCTAATTTGTACTAAAAGAAAAAATCATAACCATCAACTAGATAATCAATGGCTGTGATTATGTAGTGGTCCCTCCACTATTTTTTTGTAGTGGAGAGGATCCGAATCCTAAAAATATAGCCCTTAGTTCTCACCGAAACTTTGAAATTTTTGAAAATTTGATGCGAGGATTAGAGACTTCAAGAGAAGGATCATTAATAAAACTTTACGTATGAAAAGTCACACACTTGCGTGATTAAGAGTGGTATACATGTAGAGAACAACAGCAAGTATAATATACCGTATAAACAAGATGTAGAATATATGTTTGAGCCAGATTAGGCTTAAATTTCTAAGAAACAAATTCCAAATTAGTTCACATGTTGTTCAAATTAATCAATTTTTTAATATTCCTAATATATATACTTTTCTCGGTTGTTTGGCTTAAGATAAAAAGACAGAATGGGTAAATAAATGTTAGTCATTTGTTTTGTGTGAATTGTCACTCATATTTCACGAATAGCCAGGCCATTTGATCACAATTAAGAACTCCGCGTTGATATATTTTTCATGTGTTATGCTAACAGTTACTTTTGTGAGCAAAACTTGTGTCAACTTAAGTGGATAGCAAAAAGTTGTCCACCAAACTTTTTAGCCACACATATTGTCTAGGGATACTTATATGATATGAAAATGTTTTTTATATTAATAAATGAGTGGTTAGAAAGTTTGGTGGGCATCAACTTAAGTTGATAGGAATCTTACTCTACTTTTGTTCATTTCTTTTTGTAAATATTACACCGAGAGGTCGTTTGTTACTTATGTCGAGAGTACGAGATGTTGGAGGAAAGCGAAAAAATTGTAGAAGGATTAAGTTGTACGCTCATATGGTTAAGAAAATAGAGAGAATTCATGACAAGTCAAAAAAAAATTTGTGAAGAAAATGATTATTTGATGAATTCCTGTATGTTTGCATGATTTGTAATGCACGCAAAGTTTGCCTCATCAGCTTATTTACCCTCCCAAATGCAAGTCAGAAATCCTCTAAGGGGCTGTTTGTTTCGAAAAAAAAAGGGAAATCAAAGAATAGGAAACCTATTTCTTATAATAATTGTTTTGAGGTTGTTTGGTTGGATTAAAAAAGAAGAAAACTATAGAATAAGAGATGAGATAAGATGAGATGAGTTGTCACCTTATTATTGGATGATGTGAGTGATTTTTTAAAAAAAACTTGTTTTGAGGTTGTTTGGTTGGTTAAAAAAAATAAGGAAATGAATTGGAGGTATATTATTAGATGATGTTTTGAGGTTGTTTGTATTTGGTTCATTTTTAAAAATAAGAAAATAGATGAGGTGAGATGAGTTGGAGATATATTATTGGATGATGTGACACATACTTAAGGAAATCAATTTCTTGTTTTTTTTTTGAGGAAATGGATGGAAATGAAGGTTTAATGAGATGAGATGAGTTGTCACAATATTATTGGATGATATGTGTGATTTTAAAAAATGAGATAAGATGAGATGTGATGAGTTGGATGATGTGACACATTTCTTGTGTTTGGTTTATTTTTAAATGTAAGAAATGAGATGAGTTGGAGGATAAAAATATTATTTTATTGGATATTGTGTGTGAGTTTTAGGGATGAAAATAGATAAAAATATTATTTTATTGGTTTCTTTGTACCGATTTTCTTTTCTTGGTTTTTAGGAAACTAACCAAACGGCCCCTAACAATTTTGTGAGGATGATACTGTTTGTAAGCCACGTGTCATTGAAGAAATTGCAGATAATTGTATGAAAAACTGAAAAAACAGTTACATTAAGCACAAATATATTCTATTTAAATACAAAATTATCGTCAATATAATTATTAAATATTGTTATGTCCTATTTTAAATATAGAATCAATTATCAATATAATCAACGTATCATTTTCCAATTTTATCACTTTTTTTTATAGATAAACAAGAAATTCTATATTTTCTCTTCAAAACTAACTTTTATTATTGACAAACAGCCTCGTTTTTTTCCTAACCAGAAAAAAAATAATAAAGAAAGAGAAGCAGCTCCTTTTGTTATTGACAATTTTGTGAGATTTATAATTTTTTTAAAAAAATTTCTTGGGTAAGGCTTTCCAAGTGAGCAACGAAGCTCCTTTCCAAGTGAGAAACGAACAGTCTCATACCTCCAATATGGGCCTAACTATGGGCCGATATTTTATCAAGACGAACATCTAGTGCGTCAAGTAGCCCAATAGGCATAATATGGGCTTTAACAGCACTCCCCGAAGGCGCCAACCCCCCTCTCTCTCTCTAGAAAGAGAAGCTAGGGTTCCAGTAATGGCGATCTCCTCTCCCTCTTCAAGCTGATACCAAAAAGCGTCGAAATTTCTTTAGGTAAAAAGGAGCCCTCTTTGAAATTCAAAAAGTCTTTTTCTCTCAAAAATTGATCTTTAATTTTGATTTCAAACCAATTCCTGTCATCAGTTGTAAACTAGGGAGTCTATGAGTGCACAAAGACAAAAAAATTTCTAGGTTTTTTTTTTTTTTTTTTGAGAATCCATGTGGTGGCGACGCGCATCACTTCTCCGTGCCCAATTAGTTGAGAGGACTTCATGTAAGCCCTCTTCTCTCCTCCATCGCTACTCGGATGCAGCTCACACGAAGGGAAAGGCCGCTCCTTTACAGGTATCTTATCATAAAGTTGCTTCCTTTTGTATTCAGTTTGATGACGACGTGCATTGGCTACTTATATTTGAGTCAAAGATGTGATCTTTTTTTTTTTTGCCTCATCTATACTGTATAATACCTTCATCTGTTTGTTCATTTTAATAGGAATTAAGATTTTGTATTTTCAAATTCAGCATTCCAGAATTTGTCATAAAATCGAATGATTATGTATCCTGGGCACATGATTAAGAGCGCGACTAATTTCGTGTATATGGGTTTTCAATTTGGAAATTAAAGTTTTAAATATGGACACAAACATCCTCATCTTGTGTAGTAGCCTAGCTCAACTCGTGATTGTAATCAGTGGCGGATCTACAACATTTTTGGTGGTGGATCAAAATATACACTAAATTTTTTTCTCAAATAATAGCAGGTGGGAAAAAAAATGAAGGAAGGGTTATTAAAGAGAAAAACAATCATTTTTAAACAATGATTTGACTTATATATATATAAGAAACAAAAATATTTATAGAAGGCCTTAAAGAGGTAGACAGAACAAAGGGATAAAATGAAAGGAAAAGAAGAAGAAGAAGAAGAAGAAGAAGAAGAAGAAGAAGAAGAAGAAGAAGAAGAAGAAGAAGAAGAAGAAGAAGAAGAAGAAGAAGAAGAAGAAGAAGAAGAAGAAGAAGAAGAATAGAGGGGAGGTAAAAGGAAAGAAGCCTAAAAGAGAAATTTTCGAATGCTGGATGGTTTGAACTCCAGACCTCTTACAAAATGTTACCAACTGCAATACCACTAGGCTATAGAGAACTTTTGTATGAGGTGGTTCAAGTGAACCACTTTGAACAAGGGTGGGTCCGCCACTGATTGTAATGTGTTTGTTGCCACTAACTTCAGTTAGACTCCCACTACTAGTTTGTGAGGGAATTATATATATTATATAGTATATATTATACTAATATATAATATATATATATATATATATATATAATATATATATATATATATATAATATATATATATATATATAGAGAGAGAGAGAGAGGAGAGAGAGAGAGAGAGAGAGCCAAAACATTCTGTCAACTTAAGTGGACGTCCACTAAGTTTCTCTATCCATTGATGATTACTTGATGAGCTACATTGTGCCGATGATCCGCTCCGTTAATAGGTCTTGATCTACATATTCTAAAACCCCCAACACAAAACCAAATTGCGTGTGCACTCGTTTGCGTTGACCTTCATCCCACTGCGTATCAATTTGTAACGGTTTCGGAGTGAAGTAGAACTTTTACATGGCTCGACGGTCAGGTCAAACCACACGATTCACACCAAAATTTAGGTGTGTTGTCGCGTTTTTAGAATATGTTAGAATCAAGTTTAACGGAGCGGATCATCACACATGGTAGCTTCAATGCAAGCTAATCATCAATGGATAAAGAAACTTAGTGGACGTCCACTTAATTGACAGAGAGTTTGCTCTCTCTCTCTCTCTATAAATATATATATATATATATAATATATATATATATATTTGGCATGTTTCATTTTTTTAATTTTTGATGTGGGATTTTCCCTCTTTTTGCAGGAGAGAAGAATGAGGGATAGGGTTCGAATATGGGCCAAGGGAGGCGATGGAGGAACTGGGTGTTGGAGTTATCGACGTACTCGAACCGATCGATATGGGAAACCTGATGGTGAGAAAGCTGAATTTTATTTTATTTTTACTGGATGTTTTTGACTAAATCAAGTGTTCTTGTTGGATTTTGAAAATGAGATGATTTTATCTGCATTTGACCCCATTATATTGCATATTCAACTTACACCACTTATCATAAGTCTGAAAGATCTTTGCTTCTGTAATTAGATACTAATTGATGCCTCTCATTTGAAAGTGTTGTTGGTTTCTAAGTCGTTATTCGTTTGTGGTTTATATAGGTGGTAATGGTGGAAGAGGAGGTGATGTCATTCTGGAATGCTCTTCAGCTATTTGGGACTTTAGTAATCTGCAACATCATTTGGTTCGTTTGCTCAAAATATTCATTTGAAACGTTCTTTTCTTCCTTCTATGTTCTTAGTGACATTTGCCTTTATAAAATTCTAGATAATAAGAGTCCAATTCGTTTTGTCAAATCTTTTAGTTTCATTTGTCATAAGTCTCGAGCACTTATTTGGTTACAATATCCTTTTTCTAATTTGCAGAATGCAAAGAGAGGGGGGAATGGAGTATCAAAGAACAAAATTGGCAGTCGTGGATCTGACAAGGTTATAATTCGTAAGAACTTCTAGGGTTTGTACATTTGTAAGAGCTGTTCCTTAAAATATCTCTGACTGTGTTATTCATGAATTAATCTTAATTCAACAGGTTGTGCAAGTGCCAGTTGGCACTGTAATTCACCTAGTTAGCGGTGAAGCACCTTCATTTGTTGAGAACATTTCAGTTAAATCTTTACAGCCCTGGGAAATACCAGAAACCGATGAAGCTGGCAAATCTAGATCTTTTCAGCCGAGTAATAGTAGTGTCTTGGATAAAGGTTATGGCAGAAATTCAGGTGGTTCTCATCGTAAAGCTTTTGAAACCCCCAGAGAGAAAGCAGACCTTAAACGCTCTCATTCTCATTTTGAATCAGACAGTAGAATGTTGAGAGTTGAAGAATACGGTGATGATGAAATTGAAATAGAATTTGAACAAACCCCCAAAGAAAAAGCAAGCCGTAAACACTCACTTTCTCCTTACGAATCAGACAGTGGAACGATGAAAGTTGAAGAATATGGTGAAGATGAAATTGATATAGAATTTGAAGGGAAGAGTAATAGTAGCGTCTTGGATAAAGAAACTACTGGTGATTCATCTTTAGCACAATATAAAGGTAAAGCTGAAACCTCCGAAAGAAAACCAAAAGTTAAGCGCTCTATTAAATATTATGAATCAGATGGTAGAAGGATGAAGGTTGAAGAATATGAAATAGGATTTGATGATGAAAGTGGTGAGGGAGATGATGAAGAGTACTCAGAAGAATATGAGGAAGAAGAAGTGGAGGAGGAAGTGGAGTGTTCAGTTGCAGAACTAACTAAGCCAGGGCAAAGATTAGTAGTTGCCCGAGGAGGAGAAGGTGGTCTCGGCAATGTTGCTGTTAGAAAAAACCCAAAAAATATCAAACCTCACAGAATTGACCAACACAATGATGACTCCACCGATAACGAGCTTGAGGATGATGAGAATAATTCCTCACTTACCGCCGGTATACCTGGCTCTGAGTCTATTCTCATACTAGAACTCAAGAGTATTGCTGATGTGGGTCTCGTTGGAATGCCTAATGCCGGTAAAAGCACACTTTTAGGGGCAATCTCTAGGGCTAAACCTACCGTTGGTCACTATGCTTTCACTACATTAAGACCCAACATAGGAAATTTGAACTATGATGATTTTTTCTCTGTCTCAGTTGCTGATATCCCCGGGCTAATAAAAGGGGCACATGAAAACCGAGGTCTAGGGCATGCTTTTTTACGCCACATTGAGCGTACTAAAGTCTTGGCTTATGTTGTAGATTTGGCGGCGACTTTGAATGGTGGAAAGGGGATTCCGCCATGGGAGCAACTGAGGGATTTGGTTATGGAGCTCGAGTATCATCAAGAGGGGTTGTCAAAGCGTCGGTCATTGATAGTTGCTAATAAAATCGATGAAGAGGGTGCGGAGGATGTTTATGAAGAATTAAAGAGGAGGGTGAAAGGTGTTCCTATATTTCCAGTTTGTGCCGTGTTGGAAGAGGGAGTACCAGAATTGAAAGATGGGCTTAGAAGGCTAATGGATGGAAGTGAGTCACAGTTTCTTGATATTGATAGGATTATGGTTGATTAAATTTTTTTTTCCCGAGAGTATCCAAACTTTCCATGAAGCACTTGGATGGTGAGGATCAAGTGCTTGGACAACTTTGTATTCATTAATCGAGTAATAATTATAATAAACAAATGGAATGAGAGCTGATCGTCTTGATGGTTGGAGTTACACTGAGCCTGGGTGAAGACGAGGAAAGGGAGCACTTGATGAATAGCTGCTGAATCTTTCCGAGATGAGGAGGAAATTTTCTTCAAATATTGACATCATTACTCAATCCTCAAAACTTTGTGTGTATTTTTTTTTCATAAAACGAAATGAATCAGGGTCCAATCCTGGTCACTTTTTGATCTCATTGTTTCTTCTTATTTAGAACACAGTTTTGATAGACGGTAGGAATGTAATTTGTTTTAGCATATGTAAATATATGTGGGTTGATTGTACAAATTAACTGTCTATATTGGGTTCATCCTTGGGAAATCAATCAGATGAAATAGGGTTGGAGGTGGTTTTTGTAATCTTTAAATGCAAAATAATTCATCACTACCTTCATCCATGTTTATTAGCTCATAACATAGTTAATTGTGTGCAAGCAAGTTGCAACTAATTGCCAGGAACCTATTCACATTGGCGCAAAATAAGTCAAGAAACTGGCAGCAATAACCGCCGATCAAGAACTCAATCTGCATCATGCATTCCAAAGAGAAGCTCCGAACCACAAGTGTTTCTGATAACAGTACAATGTAAACAGTATGATTTCTAAAATCTAACTCAATGTACCTTTTCTGGATCAGGCGTTGTCTCAGTACATCCATCACCCAATACAATGTATAATCAGAAAAACAAAGTTTATAATTCCCTTTCATAATATCGATAACTTAGACCTCCCGAAAAAGATCCCCTCATTCGTGGCCAATGCATACTAAAAGGGGAGGAATTTACTTTTACAAAGAGGACTGAACGAATAACCTTTTGCCTCCCGATATATCTTGAGTACCTTGTTCCTGTGTATGCAATTGCTGTTTCTTAAAGTAAGGATCGAAACTTCTCTCTGATCTCTGATAAATGTCAATTAAGTATGAATTTTCCAAATGCCAAGCCCATAGCCCAAACGAATGAGAACAAGCTCAAAGAGCATGTGCACAATGCTAGTTAGCCTCACTTTTGAACCAGGTATCTCAGACCAGTTCACAGAAACCTCAATCATTGGGATTTTTAGATGTTTGCATAAATAGACAATCTCAACATCAAAACACCACCTGCAGTGAGAGAGATATTGAGAAAGATAAATTATTTGTAGAATGTTGAGTATACTATGCAAAATAAGTGTGAAAATACCAATTGATGACATTAGTATAAATCAGAAATATATTCTTTATTGGTTTGATCTTATCGAAATCTAATGGTAATATCACTGTGACCATATCACTTAGGCTGTGTTTACCAACCGGAAAGTAAATAGAAATAAAGAGTTAAGAGAAAGTACTTCCTCTACCGTTCGCACATCTTGTTTGGATAATAGAAAGTGAAAAGTTGAAAGTTGAGGAGCCTGTAGACATGGCATCTATTTTTTTAATTTGTTTGGTCACATGGAAAATGGATAGGAGAAAGTGGATATTCGATAAAGAAAGGCATGGAGAGAGAATCAAAAGTTCTGCCACTTGCCATATTGCCCAAAGAAAGATGAGAAAATCACTAGGAAAAGCACCTATGCTAGAGCGAAGATCAAATTGCATACCTCTTCAATCTGATGTTTGTGAAAAGCTTGCAGGCAGCAGCCCTCGTAAACATCTTAAAGCCACACTGCAATAATGCAACAATACAAAATAAAATTTTTTACGCGTATAGAAAATAACTTTCTGCTTTTTTAAGAAAGTGCTCAGCTTGTTCACCCCGAGATTTTAACTCCTTCCAAGTTGTGGATGGCACGACCCCCAGAGCTTCCAGGACATCGATGGAGAGGTTATTGTGACATGTTTGCAGGATGAACTCCTCTGTAATAGGATCTCTGCAATTCATCGCCATGTTACGGAAACGCTTGACAAAATTGTCGACTGACTCTCCGTCTTTTTGCTTCTCATCCAAAAGAGTTCCGATTGACACTTCGGTGTCATCATCGAAGAAGTTGCTGAGGAACAAACTTTCCATGTCATCCCAGCAATTGATGCTCCCTGGCTTGAGCCGTCGGTACCAATCGAAGGCGGGCCCACGAAGGGTGCCAACGAATGACCGGATCATTAAGGCCTCGTTTCCAGAGATTATGCCCAAATGAGACTTGAAATAAATCAAGTGTTGAATCGGCGAACTCTTCCCTTCAAACGGTGTGAAGTTAATCAGATTGAATTTGGTCGGGTATGGTATTGAATCCCATTCCCTCGGATAAGGACATGGAATATCCGTCTTCTTAACTTCTTGAGCCGTCATCAAAGCATTGATTTTGTCTTTAAGTTTTTGCATTTTCCCGTCATCGTCTTCATTTCTTTCTGAATGATGTTGAGTAAAGATAATTGGACCACCCCCAATGAGAGGTGCTATTGAACCACCCCCAATATCGTTATTGGGAGCAGGTATCTCAGACCAGTTCACAGAAACCTCAATCATTGGGATTTTTAGATGTTTGCATAAATAGACAATCTCAACATCAAAACACCACCTGCAGTGAGAGAGATATTGAGAAAGATAAATTATTTGTAGAATGTTGAGTATACTATGCAAAATAAGTGTGAAAATACCAATTGATGACATTAGTATAAATCAGAAATATATTCTTTATTGGTTTGATCTTATCGAAATCTAATGGTAATATCACTGTGACCATATCACTTAGGCTGTGTTTACCAACCGGAAAGTAAATAGAAATAAAGAGTTAAGAGAAAGTACTTCCTCTACCGTTCGCACATCTTGTTTGGATAATAGAAAGTGAAAAGTTGAAAGTTGAGGAGCCTGTAGACATGGCATCTATTTTTTTAATTTGTTTGGTCACATGGAAAATGGATAGGAGAAAGTGGATATTCGATAAAGAAAGGCATGGAGAGAGAATCAAAAGTTCTGCCACTTGCCATATTGCCCAAAGAAAGATGAGAAAATCACTAGGAAAAGCACCTATGCTAGAGCGAAGATCAAATTGCATACCTCTTCAATCTGATGTTTGTGAAAAGCTTGCAGGCAGCAGCCCTCGTAAACATCTTAAAGCCACACTGCAATAATGCAACAATACAAAATAAAATTTTTTACGCGTATAGAAAATAACTTTCTGCTTTATGTTAATAAATATCGCAATTGAAAGTCAGAACAATCATCACCATGAAATGAAGAGAGTCAATCTGTATCACAGAGGCCTACCTGTGTATCACGAATTCCTGGACCAGCAGCCATTAGAACAACAAGATGGAAACCCTTCATAAGAAAATTACGGTACCACTTCCGCTGGAACAATACATGAATGTCTGTTAATTTAAAGGAAAGAATACTGGGGGAAAAAACCAAGAAACCGTGAACTGTTAAAACCAAATAATCAGCAAATATACCGTTGCAAGAGCCTCTTTTTCAAGATGAGCACGGGAACCAAATACAGCAATTTCCATATCAGATAGCTTATGTCTTGAGTCAATTGGTGTTGTAGCCTGTGAACTAAGTTTCTCTTTCTTCTGTGCTAGCGCATGTATCTGATGGTAGTGGGGAAGGAGGCATATCAAAATTATCATAATGCTCAAAGAAGAAAAGCACAGCCAATATTCTTGGTGGAAATGAACTCGGAATTAATTTATGGAGTTTGTACCCCTGGAACTGGCTACTTGGTAAAAACAAGGGCTACTGTCTTCAGTAAAAATACTAAAAAAGTAATTAAGAAAAAAAGAGACTTTGTTGATACATCTGAATTTTTCTGCATAAGTTGCTGAGACGAACCTGGCTTTCAAGCTTTTCTAGGTCAGTCACCTTAGTTGCCCCATCAGCATCAAGCATCAAAAGGAGTTCACCACGCGAATGAAGCATTCCCTGTTTAACAATGCTTTCACAAAATTTAGAAGCATTGGTCAATCAGTAATACTTAAAAACATTATCTACATATTCATAATAACTCAAGAAACATATAGACTCAGCAATATTGTCAACTTTGTTCGAAAAACATATGGAGGGCAAAGAGCATCTTACTTTTCTTATAGCTTCTCCTTTTCCATGATTTCTTTCCAGTAGGATGATTCTTACATTATCAATCTTGTACTTCCTAACAAAGTTGAATGCTACTTTTGATGTTCTATCCTTACTGCCATCATCAACTATCAACACCTGTATTAGGGACATAATAGATGTAACATATCTACAGTTTTATGTGGTGTGTGTGTGTGCACGCGGCGCGGCATACACGCTTTGCATATTTGTTTTGTGAATGCAAACTAGATGTGTCATATACAAATATCAATAGTTCAGATCTGTACCAATAATTATTTTCTCATGTCAATGTGAGACTACTGTGAGAGTATGGCTCACACAATGTTCAATAACTACTTCAGGTATGTAAAAATGTTGGGAGTTACACAAAATCATACCTCATAAGTAAAGGTCTTGTCAGCAGCTGAGCGTTCCTGGAGATAGCTGCAAAAAAAATTCGTTCTTAAGAATCATAGGATTATACATATCATCCCAGCCTAATTATGATTAAGTATACACCATAAACATAGAAAGCGCTTGCTACATAAGTTAATGCACGTGCATTGTTCATATATGATTCTTTTAGCTAACAAGAGTATTCAAATCTAGTTGAGCACCCATCCTAATTTTGGGGCATACCCCCCCCCCACACACAAAAAAAAAAAAACAGAAAAAACCAAAAAAACGGCTACAAATCAAACCATTAGCAGGAGGAATCCATAGGGATGTCCTTATAGTGGATGTTGAGAATTTAATGCAAGACCCGTTTGTTAGAGTTATGACTTTGCCAGTTCACCAATCCACTTTGAGAATGATTCATATATGACAATGATCTACCTGTGTGCTATGGTTTCACTAACTGTACATATTTATGGGTGCAACCAAAAAAAGATCACGACGTTTGCTAAGGCTAAAATACTAAAAGGAGGCATTACTCACTTGTCAGAGTAATCATTTCTGCTATTTCACATTGAAGGGATTTAATGTTAAGGATCCACTTGTAAAGGGCGGTAGTTTTTGCAGGCAGTTTTTCCTTAGGAATATGAAGTGGAAAAGAACACAACGGGAATCAACAAAACCAATACTCACGACCTGTTTTCTTTCCATTAATAAATTCTTCACCCTATATTCTCCTGACAGTAACCATCGAGTTCCATAGCTGATTTTTTTTAATTATTAAAGTTGTATTGACACAAGCAGTCAGCTACAGAGCTGGAACAAGTAACTCTAACCTATAATAGGTTTGGAAAGGAAAGATCACGCTGTCAGAAGAACTGATCACAGCAATATTTAGATTCCAGATATTGAGGTGCTAACCACTCTAGCAGCCTCTCTTGCCAGTAGTGCGTTTATATATTCGGTATATTGAGAAGAAAAATCTGAGAGTACCTAATGGCACTCCTTCGAATGAAGTATCCAGGCAGGATTTCAAAGATAATATACTAACTTTTATGTGATATTTGGAAGATGGCAAAAATTCCAGTTTGCAGGCACTAAATACTAAATAGTATGCACTGCCACGATATCAGTAAATATTACCAAGTAAAGGTGGTTAACAGGCTTACATGCTATTTATATAATAGGAGTTTTAGCAGCGAGTATGCGAATAAGGCCGAAACTATTTACAGGGAAAATTACATAACAGTAATCAACTAAAGAAGTCACTTTGCAACTTACTTCAATGCCTCTTCCAGAGCTTCAGGAAGCCTAAGCTCTTCATTATATGCGGGGATAACCAAAGATAAATACTTCTCCGCAGGATCAAATATAGTAGGGCATGGAACCTGGAAATTTGTTTCGAACATATCAATCAAGTTAGTAAAAGAAAAAAAAGCAAGAGACATAGCTACTAACAGAACGAAAGGCGATTTGCCAATATCTCCTTACTGCAGATGGAACGCCCACGGCCATTTCAGGAAAACTACACAAATTTTACCCGAATATAACCCTAATCTCATTTAACCCAATCCCATATTTTAAAAAAAAAAATCATCTTTTTAGTTCCTATAACGTTTTCAGTCTGCATTGTATACTACTTTTCAAAATACCTTCTTCAACGAGTCGGGATCCTCAAAGAATGCATCGGACGCGTCTAATCTCTCAAGCCTGCAACCAAGGAAAAAAAAAGTCGGAAAATTTAGCGTCAAGAAGAGATCTAGCGCTTTAGATTCGAGTTCAGTGGGTGGCCGTGATTACGAGTGCTTGCATCCAATCTTTCTAACAAATTCAAGAAAGAATGCAGCAACGCCGAGCACCAAAATCAGCGCCTGAAAAATTATTCAATTCCAATAATAGTAATTAGTAACAAACACGATGAGAAGCTAACAATAGAAACTGTTAGGGTTTAGGGGATCGAAAACCGATTACGAACGAGAGAGGAAATCGCGAGAGAGACGGAGAGAGGGGAAGTTAGGGTTCCGTTGTTGGGATCGTCGGCGGAGAGCAGAAGAGGAGGGCATTGCCAACTCATTTTCTTCTTCCCCCGATCACAGGAAAGCGGAAGCTGCTTTCTGATGGCGATGTTGGCCCGACTTCTAGATGGGCCTTCTTCACTAAACTTAGTGGGCTTCCAACGTAATTTGGGGCCATTCACTCGATTTAATAATGGGCCTCTGACAAAAAAATGTTTTTTTTTCTGCTAGAAACAACGATAATTATACACAGAAACCTCTTTTTATTTTTAATTTATTTATAAACCATCTTTAAAGAAGTTAGTTTGTGTTGCAATCAGCTACCTCCTGGTCAAAATTTTCACTTAAAACCTAAAATTACCCCATTAAAAACATGCATTCAATGTAGATGACTCAATTTTTGAGTACTTAGGTCTTATTAGTATACGACTCGCGTAAACTTAAATTTTTAAAGCTTATTTTCGGGTTTCTAGTGAAAATTTGACTATGAGGTGACTGCTTGTAACAAAAACCAACCTTAAAGGTGGTTTATGTATAAATTGAAGATAAAAGATGGTTTTTGTATGATTATCATATTGTTAATATGGTTTCTAGAAAGAAATCCTTTAAAAAAATTGTGATGCAACTTAAAAAGGGTTTGAAGACATATATTACTTGTAATAAGGTAGTGATAAGTTATAGCTAGACTATACTTTTCAAGACTGTAGAGGGCTTGATAACTCACTAATTTTGACTGCAATCAAAGTGGAAGAATCCCACGCGCTCGTCAATTTTGATCGCAGTCGAAGTAGGAAAATGTTGCATCTTTGTGAGTGTTAGTATAGAAATAATTGAGCTTTGCTACAGGGACTAAAAATATGGGACCAATAGGAGGGACAAGTGAGGTGTCCCCCTTCCTATTGGATAATGAGTTGATCATCATTAATGATAGCCAACTCATTATCCAGTAGGAGGGGGACACCTCACTTGTCCCCTCTATTGATCCCATATTTTGGGTCCTTAAAGATTTTTTCCAAATAATTTAACTAACATAGAATTTAGTTATAATTATTTGTTATATTTTTAATATTTAAGGAACCTAATTTAAATTGTCTACATTGGGAGAAGAGAAACAATAGAAATAGGAAGAGTAACATATTGTACATTGGGAATGAAAAATGCGAGCGTTCGACTTATCTTGCAACTACAAAACACGTAATTACGATTTCCGTAAAAACCAGTGATTCCTCGACACAATTTATAAAACAGATTATACATTTATGTGTCATGCAGTACGAACGAGCGTCACAAGCCTTCGTAAATATCTTGGGTTCGTATGCAAGTGCTGTTGGAGTTGTAACTTAAAACTTGAGTTTGGAGTGGGAAATTTTAGTTCCACATTGGATAGGAGATGGGAAGGAAAGGTGTTTATAAGTCTTTCCCTTCTCTCCTATGTCTAAAAGTAAATAAAGGTTATGCTCCACACCACGCGCGCGCGCCGGCCGGGTTGGGCTCGGGTCGGGTACACGACCTGCGGACACGAATGCAGCTCCGGATTAAAAGATTTATTTTGTAACGGCTAAGATTTATTAACGTGATTAAAAACGCGATAAATATTTTGCGAATTTATTTGGTAACGAAAATATTTTGATTTTGTAACGGCTAAGATTTATTAACGTGATTAAATATGTATTAACTGCGGGTTTATGAATAACGACTATTTTAACCCTATAAAAGGACCTAAACCCGAAGAGTTTTACACAGTGAAAGAAAAAACAGAACATTTTCTCTCCTCTGCTCTATTCTTCATTTTCGTGTTCTTGCTGTTAAATCGTTGTTGGTTCCCTGAAAGTCACGAAGAATTCACAAAGCCTTCTTGAAGCTCGTGCCGACGAGAAGGAGGTCGCCTGACCGAGGGTCGTTGTATCTCCGAGAACTTTTGTCGCGTTGCCCTGTACGAGAGGGGGCAATTAGATTCTTGGGACAGTGCTTGCACGCCTCGACCATCAGGCCGTATTTCTAACTTTTATTAATTTTATATCTATTTTTAATCATTATCTAATTCTGTTAAAACTGCATTTTGTGCTAATTACACTCTAAACAGCTTATATTCCCAACAA